ATACAACGGAATACGTGCAGTATGAAAACATGTAAGATACATGATTATTTAACACAGGTGTATACATACACACAAACACGTGCATCATGGACGTTTGTGAGACATGCGCGTGTTTAACATCATTCCTTATTTTCACAAGCGGACGTCCACCGTGAACTCATGTGAGACACACTCCTGTTTAACATCATTCCTTATTTACACAAGCGGACGTCCCCCGTAAACTCATGTGAGACACACTCCTGTTTAACATCATTCCTTATTTACACAACCGGAACGTGCACCGTGAACTCAGGTGACACATACCACATATACCACACATACCACATATACCACACATACCACATATACCACATATACCACACATACCACACATACCACATATACCACATATACCACATATACCACACATACCACCTATACCACACATACCACCTATACCACACATACCACCTTTACCACACATACCACATATACCACACATACCACATATACCACATATACCACACATACCACACATACCACATATACCACACATACCACCTATACCACACATGCCACCTATACCACACTTACCACATATACCACACTTACCACATATACCACACATACCACCTATACCACACATACCACATATGCCACACATACCACATATACCACACTTACCACATATACCACACATACCACACATACCACACATACCACATATACCACCTATACCACACATACCACACATACCACACATACCACATATACCACATATACCACCTATACCACACATACCACCTATACCACACATACCACATATACCACACTTACCACATATACCACACATACCACCTATACCACACATACCACATATACCACACATACCACATATACCACACTTACCACATATACCACACATACCACACATACCACACATACCACATATACCACCTATACCACACATACCACACATACCACATATACCACACATACCACACATACCACACATACCACCTATACCACACTTACCACATATACCACATATACCACACATACCACCTATACCACACATACCACATATACCACACTTACCACATATACCACACTTACCACCTATACCACACATACCACCTATACCACATATACCACCTATACCACACATACCACATATACCACACATACCACCTATACCACACATACCACATATGCCACACATACCACATATACCACACATACCACATATACAACACATACCACACATACCACATATACCACACTTACCACCTATACCACACATACCACACATACCACATATACCACACATACCACACATACCACACATACCATCTATACCACACTTACCACATATACCACATATACCACACATACCACCTATACCACACATACCACATATACCACACTTACCACATATACCACACTTACCACCTATACCACACATACCACCTATACCACATATACCACCTATACCACACATACCACATATACCACACATACCACCTATATACACACATACCACATGTGCCACGCATACCACATATACCACACATACCACATATTCCACACATACCACACATACCACACATACCACACATACCACACATACCACACATACCACACATACCACATATACCACATATACCACACATACCAACCACCTATACCACACACCACCATACACATATGCCACACATACCACATATACCACATATACCACATATATATGTCACACATACCACATATACCACACATACCACACATAGCACACATAGCACATATACCACATATACCACAGTTACCACCTATACCACACATACCACACATACCACATATACCACACATACCACACATACCACCTATACCACACTTACCACATATACCACATATACCACACATACCACCTATACCACACATACCACATATACCACACTTACCACATATACCACACATACCACCTATAACACACACTCCACCTATACCACATATACCACCTATACCACACATACCACATATACCACACATACCACCTATACCACACATACCACATATGACACACATACCACATATACCACACATACCACATATACCACACATATCACATATACCACACATACCACACATACCACACATACCACATATACCACATATACCACACATACCACACATACCATGGCCAGCACATGTAACTGAACAAAATAGCGCATACTGG